TCTGGGCATGGGGCCCAGCAATAGTTCTGTTGATCACTCTATTGTGAACCATTAGGCCAGAGAAAGGAGTTAAGGTGGCTGGAGGCTGGAGGTGCGGGTAATGGATGGAAGATGAGTCACATTGGAGTGAGATTGTGAACTATCAGGAGTGCTCATGTTACCTAACTATACTCAGGGCTTTTCTATGTCTTTTCCTGTGATATTCCTTTGGCTAGAAAGCATCATCTCCCACTTCCTGTTTACCTCTTCCCTATCTCTATTTTTCAAAGTCTTAGCCATTTTCCAATGGCATTTGGAGTATCTCTTACCCTATCGTCTTTTCTGACTACTTCAAAAGCATTTGGTCTGTCTTCTCACTGAAACCCCAAGGCTGTGACTTTTCTTGCAGCATCTAGATTTAGCTTTATTTCTCTAGAGAACAAATCTTTTGAGGACAGGTGGTCTGCCTGGTCATTAGTGGATGCTTGTAATGCCTATTATGATGCTAGCAACACAGGAGATGTTAAAATGACTTTTGAAACATAGAGATTTTGATTCAGTTGAATATGTAGACAACCACCAGCTAATCTCTATTGGCTTGGTAAGTATTCCAGTTCTCCCGTTTGTCTGGTAATCAAAGTAGACCTCCACTCATGAAGCAATGAATGGATCACATGGTCAGAAGGTTCTAGAAACACAATGGTTCAGTTTGACACACACTTACTGAGTAGGCTGCCAAGTCTGATGCTAAGTGCTTGGAGATAAACAAAATACAGTCCTTGTCTTTGTAAAGCACACATTTTTAATGGGAAAAGAACACATAATCAGATCATTTCAATGTACTATGATAAGCAGAGAGCTATGCACAAAGATCGATGTGAGCAAAAACCACAAACTCCCTCAGTTCCCACTCTGGAGTTACAAAGAAAGGTTTGTCAGAAAAAAAATGTGTGTGTTAAATCTTGAAGAATGAGGAAGACTAGCACGGAAAAGAGTACAGAAGGAAGCTCTAATATAGAGAACAGCACAAAGGCATGGAGGTGTAAACAGTGTCTTGGTAAGAAGGGGAGGGCCTCATGAATGGTAAGTACTCTGGCATTGGTAGACCATAAATTTGTAGTTGGTGATTGGCAGAAGGCTATGTCGCAGAGCAGGGAACCAGTCGCAGAGGGTTTTGTAGTCCATGCTAGGAAATTTGGAATTTATTCTGAAAGACTTAGAGAATAACAGGAGTAGTGGTTAGATTTGCATTTTAAATAGATCATGCTGGCTCCAATGGGAGGAGGGGTTCAAGGAGATGAGGCTGGATGGTGATGAGAGAGGACAAGATGAGCCTTGGGCATTTGCAGATTTCCCTGGGGACACAAAGTGGGATTCACTCTCAAATCAATTACAACAATGAGTTATTTCTTATTAGGAGGAAAACTTAAGCAGAGTACAAGTCTGAGTGAGACACGGCAGGCCTTACCCCTGGTAAATGCAAGGATAACCAGGCTGGTTTGGATAAGAATAAGCTCATCTTGTATGAGTGGCCACTCTGCCCCACCTCATTTGATTAATAAGAATTTCCAGCCTGTGGAACAGACCATGATGACTTGAACAGGCATTTATCAATCACTATATTTCCCCAAACCTCCAGACAGACTGACTTGGAGTCATAATTATTCCCTCTTTCATTCTTGCCATCTACACATTTATAATTTCTTAGTACATTTCACTTGATCAGCCAAATAGTCATTTTTTACATACTTTCCTATAGCAAATACTGGAAAGAAAAAGAGGTGTTTACACCTATCTGTTCTTCATGCAGAGATTTAAACTACATGCAATAATAATCACAGCATTGGTATTGCTGCTGAGTAATTTAAAGTCCCAAAGGACAGTTTGTTCCCATAATCAGGCCCCTGAGGTCCTAGGTGTGTAGAGAGAGAAAAGAAGAATGATGAAGAATCTCATCACTCAATGGAAAATTAACATTAAAATGTTTCTTATAGGATTTTGTGTTGTGGAAAATACTCATCACCAGCATTGTCCTAATGATTCACGATCAGTGGGATCATAATTTGTGAGTGCTGGTGTCATCTGCAGGAACACAGGCTCAACATCTTGTTCAAGGGTACCAGTTGGTAAACTCCAGAATTTAAACCTAAGACATGGATTCTACTGCCTTACTCTGCTCTTCATGTCACACTGGAGCAGAATAACTTGACTCAGGATGGTTGGAGGAAGAGAGGTGGAAGAAGGCAGAGGAAACAGTGAAGATGGAAGACTTTGTTTTGGATTTTTACAGAATCTCTACTCTCAAGTGGTCCATTTTCTTGGACTACTATCCAGAGATAAGATGAGAATAAAGGGACAAAAAAATTGACTTCATATTTAATCAGTGTGAAACCCCACTACTTATTCAAATTCTAGTTTAGCTTTAAGACCTAGCACAGACTTGTAAACCTTCTTTCACTATTAGAGCTTTCAATCACTTACTTTTTCTTAGAACCTATGGAAAGAGATGGCAGACAACCCAGCATTTAATGACATCCTACCACTTGATGTTTACTGTTAGCTGTGCTTCATCAACAATGCTAAAACGTCTGCTATACAGAAAAATAAATCCACCAGAGTGGCTGAGTCTTCCAGATAACTGATAGTTTTCTTTCTTAAGCCCAAGCATTTTTAAAATTGTAAATATTTTGGCAAGAAGAACATTTATGGTGTATCTTATACATCTCTGTCTTCTTAAACACAGTATGTTAAGCACGTTTTCGCCATCCATTATTGCACTGTGCCTTATTATTGGTACCCTTGTACTTAATGCCCTCATAGTCTGAAGCATATTGTCTTTTATCTATTTGTTTTTCAAATTTCTCCTCCTATTGCTGAGGCTTTCAGCCATTACTGTGCCTCCAATGGGAATCTTCACTCTGACGCAATCTCAGCTCACTGCAACCTCTGCCTCTTGTATTCAAGTAATTGTCCTGCCTCAGCCTCCTGAACAGCTAATATTACAGGTGCATGCCACCATGCCAGGCTAATTTTGCATTTTTAGTAGAAATGGGGTTTCACCATGTTGGCCAGGCTGGTCTCAAACTCCTAAGCCCAAGTGATCCACCTTCCTAAGCCTTCCAAAGTTCTGAAATTACAAGTGTGAGCCTCCGTGCCCAGCCTCTAATGGGAACCTTCTATCACCTTCCAACTCACTGTTCCTAAAGCATCATGAACTGGGAAATCAGAAAATCAAGATTGTTAAACACACGGGCAAAGTATGAGTAAATAAGTCTCTAGTCAGGGCCAGAGGAACAATTCCATTATTTGGAATGATGAAAGGTTTGATCAAAGATTCATGTCTCTTGACTATTTTTAGTTGGAGAAATTTCCCGAATAGCTGAGTTCTGAAAAGGGGAAATGTTCCTGGAGATAAAATTCATCAGGTAATGTTTTTACAGTATCCAACTCAGTGCCAAGGGCACGGCAGACTCTGTACAAGGGCACAGCAGACACTGAATAAGTGACTTGGTGACTACAGTGTCCTCAACTGCAAAAAGTGTCCAATAATGACCAATAGAATCTTTGTGTTACCTGCTATTTTGATTGCCCTCAAGATTTCAGGCAGTGATAAAAATGAACACAACATCATTTTGATATGGTATCTTTGTAAGCAAAATTAAATTCTCTTTGGAACACGACTACATGTAAGCAAAATGATGTTGTCCAACTAACTTTGAATAAATAGTGCTGCAACATCCAAAGACACAATGGATTGAGTAACCTCTAAATCAACTGCCCTTATATATAAATGAAGATGGTCATTGTTAAAAAAAATCTGAATGAATGCGCATAATATACTTAAGATAGGTTCTAGTTAATGTAAAGAACACCTGAGGAAAAGAATGAAACTGAAAAAAGAAAATGGCATCCAAACTTTTCTTCAGACAAACAACCTCTGTATCAGTTTTCAGTGTTCGTCATACTGTTTTATTTCAACTCTTTATGGAGAGGATATAGGGGGAATGTCAAGAAATGGCTCCAAAAAAGGAAAATATATGAGAGAATAATTTTTCTTGCTCTGTTTTAGCTTATTACATCATTGTATCAAGCGTAAGGCATCAGTGAGTTTTGGAAATTATGCCACCTCGACAGACCAGTACAGTGATGACGATGGAGATTTCTGGCTCCTGTAGTCTTTGCCCACCATCTTCTGAACCTGCTTTTTAGCATTTTAGAAGAATTGAGAGGAGCTCTAGAAACTACAGGTCTGACCATTCAAAGGTTATCATCTGGGAAGTCTTAATGACTACATGGTTAGACTATCATATTTTTGCCCCAAGGTACTAATTGAGTCTCAAAGGTAGCATTCAACATCCTTTCCTACTGAGATCTCATTATGCACGTGTAATGTGAGTAAACAATGAGATTCTATTAAATTGCTTTCCTCCCTTTAAATTAGCCTTAATACAGAAAGGGAGGAGACAGGGTGCTTATTCTTACAGAGATCAAGTAATTAATTTTGTAGGTTCTATGAAATATTGAAGGAAATCATGCAAATGAATTTGCAAACAATTAGAACAGGAACTACTCAAATATGTGTATTTATGAAAAAAGATATAAAGCAAATGCAGATCAGTTCATTAGTCTCATGGAGTTTCTTCATCTTGGTAAGAGTGTTGTATATGTGACTAAAGTGCTAAATAAAATCTTAGATAGATGTTTATTAATTGCTAGATGTTGACTTTTACTTTTAAAATCACTTTCAGAAATTCTAACATTGAGTTCAGTTACCATTTTAGTCCAATCTCATACCTAGAAGAAATTGTGTTCATAACCATAATACTCTCCCCTTCTTTATTTATATAGAATTTCAGGGTTTTCAGCTTATTTCACAATCCAGGGACATTACAAGCACTTCAGCTAGAAATGCTATATTTTTGCAAAGCAAAGCTTGAAACAAAAACATTTTGTGGTTAAACATTCATTAACTAGAAAATGTAACCCACACAAAAAGCACACCCCCAGAGCATGTCAGATAATCAAGGTTTAATCAAGGTTTATTGTAGTATCTATTATTTAAAACTAGAAGCTAAATACATAAGGGCCTCTCTCTGGTTTTGTGCTTCAAATATTTATACACATGCTTCCAAATGCTCTAGCATTAGCATTAGGGAAATATAATTTACAGGAGGAAATATCTACATATTGCTCCTGTCAACTTCTGTGTATTTTCCCCACAATCATTTGAAATCACTTGAAATTAGTCTTGTCAGCATCCAACCTTGACCCTAGGACAGGGTTTCTCCTCCTCAGCACTATGGGCATTGTGGACTGGATAATTCTTTGTTGTGGCAGTGGCTGTCCTGGGCATTGTAGGATGTTTAGCAGCACTTTTAGCCTCTACCCATTAGAAGTCACTAGCATTTCTATAGGTGCCAGTAGCATGTCTCTAGACATTGCCAGATGACCCTGGAAGAACAAAAATTTCTGACACAAAATAATGACTAAAGACATGACATTAGAGATCTTTGGCACAATAAGGAGAGCTCCAACATGTACAGTGACTGGTAGCTTATGGCGTGGGGAGGGATGACAGAAAAAGAAATTAAAATACATGATTAGTAGATTACTGAATTAAAGGAAAGAAACACTTAATTGGGAATAGAAAGGCCTATTCACATGCTGAAGAAACATCAAGACGTAGTTTGATAATAAACTTCAAGGATTTAAAAAAAAAAAAGATACAAAGGAGAAAAAAATTCTGCCTCAGACTTAACCAAATAAATGCTATAAGATTATCAAAAAAAGGTTCTGTTATTTGGGTGAGTTACCAAAATAAGGCTTTCTTCTTTGCTTAAGAGGTGGGGCCCATGACACAGGGGGAGCCTCTACTTTGTTAGATCACTGCTCAAGTTCTGGACCACAAACTTGGGTATTGGCAGTTGTTTACTATTCCTAGTGGATACTCCCAGTGGATTCACTTATAGAGGTGGTTTGAATGCCTATTATTTCCCAGGAGCAAGTCAATTACCCTACTCTCTTACCAACAATGCTTTTACATATGGCCAGAAGTGTCCATTTTTATCTTCAATAAATTTTAATCTTTACTAAGCTTTTATCTTCCCTCATTAGGAATGAGCAGGCTTTTGCTGGTTAATTGGGCGTTCCTATTTCTTTTTATGTATTGCTTCTGTGCACGCTGCCCATTTTCCTACCACGTTTTAAGTTGGACTGCAGTTGCTCTTTGTGAACTGTCAGATGTCTGGAGAGAATGGGCTTCTCCAGAGTGTATTTTATCTTTTGAATTTGCTTCTGGTGTTTTGCTGAACTGAAGCTTTTCATTTGAACGTGGTCAAATCCTTCAGACTTCTTCACAACCTCCGGGTATCTCATCTTCCTTGGAAAGGTCTTTATATCACTCTGGGATTATGATACTCTTATACTTTTAGTATTAACATGGCTGAACTGCAACTGATGACAGGAAATCGGATGCTTCTGACCCAGTGAGCAGAAGAACCCTGGGAAAAGGATGACCTTTTTTTCAAAAGGCTAAAAATGTAAAACATACAGACCAAACAGCAGAAAACTGAAAATCCAAGGTCTAAGGCAGAACTTCTTCCCTACTTAGAATTTGTGAACTGATAGAAAGGACAAAGAAGCATACTTTAAGGTCTACAATCAGCTAAGCTGCCTTATGGTATACTATGCATGCATATCTGCATATGTATATACACAAAACTGGCAACTTAATGATGTAAATAGGCTCTTCTACATGCCTAGAAAGAGAAGAAACTCTGACAAAGCTCATAATTCTTTCCAATTTGGCATTCTTTTAAGTGCCCAATACCAATATCTCATGGTCTTCATCATCACCTGGGACTCTCAGATTAAACTTTCTTGATTCTGAAATTTTATAACCATCCACTCTATTCCCTTCTTTCCCCAATAGTCTAGAAAAGGCCCAAAATAAAGATTTTTCTAAACTACCCCTCCTGATCAACCCCCTACCCTACCTCCCTAGATTAAGTTCCTCTTGATTGATGGAGTATTTTGTTTTTTGTTTTGTTTTGTTTTATCGAGACGGAGTCTCGCTCTGTCGTCCAGGCTGGAGTGCAGTGGCGCGATCTCGGCTCACTGCAAGCTCCGCCTCCCGGGTTCACGACATTCTCCTGCCTCTGCCTCCTGATGTAGCTGGGACTACGGCGCCCACAAGCACGCCCGGCTAATTTTTTTGTATTTTTAGTAGAGACGGGGTTTCACCGTGTTAGCTAGGATGGTCTCAATCTCCTGACCTCGTGATCCACCAGCCTGGGTCTCTCAAAGTGCTGGGATTACAGGCGTGAGCCACCGTGCCCAGCCAATTGATGGGGTTTGGTTGTCTGGATTCTACAAGCTCAGGTACCCCAATTTATAGTTTGACTCCAAGCCCCACCCACAGCTGTATGACCAGTGGCATTGTGATGTTGAACCTAAAGGTTTCTATTGTGACCAATGCAGCTGGTACAAAAGAATTTTTGCTTGCCTTCCTGAAGGTCTCGCATGCTGCTGGCAGCCTACTAGATATTTAAAGTAATCATCATGATAATGGCTAAGATTTATTAACCGTGTGTTATGTGCTTTATGGTGCTAAGAACTCATGTATTTCCTCATTGAATCTTCACAGAATCCTTATGAAGTAGGTAAAATTATTGTATTATAATTCCCCAATTTGGAGTATAAGTTAATGAAAAGTCTCAAATAAAAATAATTTTGAAAAGACTCCCTTCCCAAAACAAGGGAGAGGATCCATTTGATCCATTGTAAGAAATTCTATGATAGTTATTTATGGTAAACTTGGCTACCCCAAGCAATGAATGACCCAGTGATAAAACAGACTCTTGTCTGGAGTTTTTCAAACTGTAAATGACTAATAATGTTCATTTCTTACTAAATGCGTTGAAGAAAGCAGTGCCCCTTCATGAAGGAGGTGAGGTATACATAGGAAGTAGCACGGAGTGGAATAAAAGGCTGGGTAAATCACTTTAACACTTGCAAATAAGAGAATTCACCAAGGAGGGCTTGGAGGCTGTTAAGATTTCCTCCAAGACAAATCTCACCTTACATCACCACTGAGTATTTCCTAAGGCAGGGATTCCACCCATTCCATCTTTGGACTAGCAGTATCTGTCCCAGGGGAATGAAGAAGAGTGGGAGGGATGATCCTATAGCTAGCCTTCATGTGGACTAGAAATAACTATTGTGACATAAGAGCTTGTGAAATTTCTTTAATTCCCCCAATCTTATCACTGTTTCATTGTTGTTCTTATACTATGCTAATTATCCTATAGGAAAAAACAGTAAGACACTCAAAAGAAACCATTTACTGGTTTTGAGAGGCAATAGAAAGGGTCAAGTAGATACTCCTGTATCTAGTGCCTTCATTTTCTATTATTACATAATGAATGACTACAAACTTAGTGGTTTAACACTGTAAATTCATTATCTCACAGGTTTTGTGGGTCAGGAGCCTGACATGTTTTAGCTGGGTACCCACAAGGCTGAAAATAAGATGTTGGTCATTTACACCATCTGGAGACCAACCAGATAAATGTCCACCACCAAGCTCCTCCAGATTGTTGGAAGAATTTATTTTCTTGTGACTATATGACTGAGGTTTCCATTTCTTGCTAGCTGTTGGCCAGGGACTTCTCTCAGCAGCTACAGGTTGCTCTCAGGCTCTTGTCACTTGGCCTTTTGCACAGGTAGTTTAGCATGTGACTGTTTAATCCTTCAAGACAAGCAGAATTTTTGTTTCTTTCTTTATAAAGGTCTTGGGCTTTGAAGCACTCACTTGATTAGATAAGACCCATCCATGATCATCTTTCTTGTGATTAACTCAAAATCAACTTCTCTGGGACCTTAATTATGTCTACAGAATCCCTTCACCTTTATCATAGGATGCAACCTAATCATGAGCGTAAAGAGCGTGAACACTAAGTGGGCAAGAATTGTGAGAGCCATCTCAGAATTCAGCCTACCACAGCTGTGGACCCAGAACTTTATTAGGGATTAGAGGATGCACCATGAGAAAGCAACTCAAATCCTTGAGGAATGCCGAGAGAAGGCATAAGGACATAAGGGAGGCAGTGGCCTGGAATGAGATAGAAGAAACTGTGTTTGCCTGCCAAAGGTGTCCCTGTTGTATCTGGAATGCTTCACTAGAGGCAGAAGGAGGAGGGAGCTGCAGAAAAAGTTGAATATTTATGCCCTTCAGACTAAGGTTGTCTTCTGTATCTGGCCACTCATCCTAAGAAGAGGAACCACATCACTGGCTGAGTCCAGACCTAGGAGGGCAGGTTATTTTATCTTGCATTACAACTCTGATCAACTGATACAGTCTGCATGCAGTGTCACCCTGAGAAATATTCTGAGACTGTGTTGTGGCTCAGCAGTAAAGAGTGCCGTTCTTGATTAGCTATGTCTTTCATGAACTCTGGATGGTGAATGGAAATATGTTGAACAAGTATTGACTATTCATGACTTAGACTGTACACATCACCCGAAGACATCTCAACAAATATTAAAACAAAATACAAAGTGTTTAGGAATATACACTGTACAGAAAAGAGACGGCCTTTATAAGATCATTTTGAGGACTAAGCTCTGATTTTTTTTTTTAATCTTACTCAAATTCCTATCTAAAGGGTCTGGGAAATCATGCCCTACAAACCATGAATTCTCATCAGATGGGTTTTATTTAACCCTGTATATTGTAATTTACTTTCCAATCTGACTCTGGCATAACAAGGAAAAAAATCAAAATGTTTTACCCCAAACTATACTTCCTTGCCATACCTTGAAATTGTCCTGCAAAGTCTCTTGTGGGAAAAATCCACATTCTCTAGAGAGTCCCCTTTCCCCTTTGTTTTATTTTCCTTCCTTTCCAGATCCAGGAGACAATCAACTAAGAGCCAGGCACCCTTTTAGGTCCGACAAAAAACATTTTACAATCTGTCCTCTCTGAAGTCTGCTATCTGAGAGCTTCCTTTGCACAATAAAACTTGGTCTCCGCAATCCTTTATCTTAACCTGAAAATTTCCTTTGATTCCAGATCTTCAGATAAACTCAACCAATTGCCAACTAGAAAATGTTTAAATGTACCTATAGCCTAGAAGCCCTCACTTTTTACCCACCTTTCTGAACAAAACCAATGTATTTCTTAAATGTGTTTGATGTCTCATGCCTCCCTAAAATATATAAAACCAAGCTGTACCATGGCCACCTTGGACACATGTTCTTAGGACCTCCTGAGGGCTGTGTCACGGGCCATGAGCACATTTGGCTCATATTTGGCTTAGAATAAATCAAAAAATATTTGACAGAGTTTCATCAACAGTTTATTTGCTTCCCATCCCCCAAATTCTCATTTTTTCTACTTACAGTCTCCCATTGGGAGGTTGTTTACTTATAGACCCAATCCATACATACTGGGAAATACCAAGAAATGTAAGAATTTGCAGACCTCAAGGAGCGATGAAGTCATAAAACAGAAACCCTTCAATGTTTGAAAATAGTTTTATAAGAATGAACAGTCTATCAACTCACCATTATGCCACCAAAGCAATATGTAAACATGTGTCTCATTTCCCAGTGCTGCTTAGAAGCTACAGAAAGAAGTCCATATTAAAGAAAGGATTGATTGAATGACTTCCTGAAGAGTTGGATGAGCCACATCCCATTTAGCAGATAGAGAAATTCAGGGTCATGTCTGAGTCTCTAGGCCTCCACTAGACCTTCTCATTTTAATCAGATTCAAGTCTCCTGAGCATTTTAATATTGAGAACATTTGCAGTCCTCGTTGGAGCCATTTCTGCTTTCCCAGTCCTTGGGGTGTGGCAAGAAGAAGTCACCTGATTTTTACAACTTCATGGCATTTTCCCAATCATGAAAATGCCCTCAAGTTTGTCACTCGTACAACAAACAAAGGCAAGAAAGCAAATCTATCTGCAGAATAGTGCCATATGAAGATAGATTAAAATGCTAATGGATGAGCATGACATAGAGAAAACAGCACACTGCTGAGGGTTAAAGAAACATGGGTTTCATCCAGAAAGGCCCTTTGAACCACAGTCTGTACTACCCAGCTCTGTCTGAGGGGCTGGAGACAATGAAAGTAAGACAGAAGTGGAAACCAAACTTGTATGCCTCCTAGTCCCAGTTACTGCTCCTTTCAACACTTTGGCTTGTTTTTTCTTGGAATGAGGTTATGTAAAGCCTGAAGAAACAGCCCCTGGCAATGCTTTCTCACAGAAATTTCTCCACTTTTATTTCTTCCCCCTCCAACCCTTTATGTAATGGAACTACTTTGGTATAGACAGTAGATTGCAATTATCCTTCGGAACTGAGCAAGGAAAGAATGCACCAAGATGAGCACGGGAACAAAACTAAATAGGTATCCTTAAAATACTAAGCAGAATGCATGCCTCTGATATTCTCATCACTCCTGAGCCAAATTATTTAGTCTATAGCTATTAGATGCATCAGGACAGTTCTTCTAATCCCTGTGCTATTCCTTGGGTATCGAATTTAGCAACAACATATTGGTGAATTAATTTCAAAGATCTTTGGGAGAAAACAGAATTGAATCCAGTGAACTCAGGGATGAATAATATCCCTGAATTTGGAAAGGAAATATCTTTCCATTAAGAAATTGCTTCAGAAATAAAGTAGAACAAGATACATAAATTCCAAGTATCTCCCCTAACAGAAAGACTTGAGAAATGTGTTTAAAGAAACATATTAATTATTTACAGCTATTGTAAATGCTTCTAAAAACAAACAAACAAAATGCCTATGCATTGTGCCATTGTGTGTTTATTGAGTAAGCCCATGCTCTTATTGTGCATTGATTCTTTGGTTGCCATGGCAGAGGGAATGGTTTCTGTGATATGACAGCAGTTACCATATGTTCAGCTTCAAGCCAACTGACTCGATCACAAAAACAGAAGAGAGAAGGAGCTGTGCAGCCCCACCTATTCCAAGGGTCCTATTAGGACCAAGTTGTCTCA